CATTATATTTGACGTTATTTTAGATGTGTGATGAAGACGAAGTATTTGAGTTTTTAGAAGATGATTTCAATAACTCTAAAAAGAAAGTAAGTGACAAAATTAATAGGAATGCCATTCGAAATTTGATCAAACCATTTGAATTGCAAGACGGAATGTTTTATACAGCGATATAGGCTAACGAAAGAGTGTGTACTTGAGCTGTGTAATGAGATGAGACCATTCATGACACAACCTACGAAGTCCACAGATTTGAGTGTAGAAGTCAAGGTTTGTAGTATATTATAAACATTTTTATATCATGGAACTAAATATGAAGTATTAAAAGGACTTAAATTAACGATATAAGTACTAGGCAAATTTTGGATACATTTTTGTATCCAAACCACCAGGTCAAATATGGTCTATCGAAGCTATTACTTGCTTGTCTTTTATTTATTTGTTTCATTTCTTATTTTAGGTCCTCCAGGTTGTATCCTATGGCGATGACGCTGTAAGCTACATACACAGATTCCCACTAATAGATACCGCATTATTGAATGTTTGTACTGATTCGAGTGCACAAAATTTGGTGGTATGCAAGCATTGCGGGGGACGTGTGAGTGTGGTAGAATATTATGATTATTTTATTATCGATAAATTTGGTTGGATGATCTGAATTATTGATATTAATTGTATTTTCGATTTGTTGGTTATTGATAAATAAATATATTACTCATAGTTACTTGATATTTATTAAAAAAAAATAAAACAATGTTTATATATTTGTACATTTAAGTTTTTAAAATATATATTTTACTGATTTTTTTTGTATAAATACGTCTCACAGAATTCATGGGATATGTCTTCCGGGATAAATAAAGCAATCTTGTGTCAATGTATTTTTCTATGACACTCTTAGCGAAATCAATGACATGATTACAACTTTCGTGAGAGAAATGGTGATATATTATTTCAGGGAAAATATCCTCATTAATGAAACTGCTTAATGTTTGTGTTACAAAACGGAATTTGTCTTTGTAATATATTTTAGATCCTTGATTTGAATCAATTGAGTTTCGGATGACTTGTTCAGATCGTCTGCAAATTTTAGTGACCATTGTGGACGGGAAGAGCATCTCTTGCATAAATCAAACTGGGTTTTTTCTCATCCAGATATTAATGCGTTAACGCACGTATTGCATTTCGTCTTTTTTATTAAATATTTTTTACAGCATATTTACAGCATAGATTGCTTACAGCATATACCGTTGTTGTAACAACGGTATATGCTGTAAGCAATCAATCAAAGTTTCATCAACGCGTTCCTCAGTCTCGCGAGTTTCACCCCTTTTAGTCGTCATAATTATACCTTTTATAGCTGAAGAACAGTTTAATATGGCGATATGTTCTAAAGCTATATAATTACCTGTATTAAGTTCTTGCAACTCCAACTTGCAAATATACAAGCATTTTTCTATAAATGCCATAAAACTGTTTTGGTGTTGGATTGTTATTAGCACCTTCATGTGATCTCATATTACAGAAAAGCAGTTCAATGTGGTCTTGGCTGATATTTAAGGAAAGCGTTGGTTCTTTATTAAATCATTAAATAAAAAATCCAGTAAAATCGTGGCGTATCAATTAATCGGTCTGCTTATTTTTTAAATTAGTTTGTCAAATTCATTATGACACTTTCATAATATTAAAAAAAAAAACAAGTGCTCTGATCGTAGCTTGTAAGCCGCGTGAAACTTCTCATCTTCTTGCAACTGGTGTAACATCTCAATATGACTCCATTTAATATTATTGCCTTCAGCATATTTGAATTCCCCCTAATGGTTAAAACTATTTCTAAGTAATTTTATCATGTAAGCTGTATCGAGAAAGATTTGGCTTGATGCTTTCAAAAACTATCCTATGATAGCAGGATCACCTATGGGATCTGTTTGGGTATGAGGGTTAAGATGTTTAAAGATGGCAGTATATAATTGGATCAGGAGCAATTTGTTAATAATATTTTAATGAAATTTAACATGTTGATTGCAATGGTGTGGATACTCCAATTGAAAATAACTCAAAACTAGGAAAGACTGATAAAGTTAACAAATAATACTCTTTTCAACAGTTAATATGGACCCTAATTTATCTGTCTACCCTAACACGCCCAGATATCAGTTTTAATGTCAGTTATTTAAGGCAGTTCAACTGTTTTACAGCAGTCCATTGGAGACATGCTAAACGAATTAAATACCTAAAAAGAACGTCGCATGGACTAATGTATACCAAAGATAATTGTAATTTGGAAGGCTTTGTATATGCTGACTGGGGCCCTAATAATGTTGATATAAAATCCTATACAGGTCTCTATTTTAAATTGTAAGGAGCTGTGATATCATTTGAATGTAAAAAAAAGAAGCAAACAGTAGCATTGTCAAGCACAGAAAGTGAGTACATGGCAATATCAGAGGCCTGTAAGGAAGCTTTATATTTGAAGAACTTACTTGTCTGAAATTATTGGCTGTAACTATACAATTAATCTGTTGAATGATAATCAGGGCGCTTTATTATTATATTTTGGGGGAATTACACGGAGAGATATGATTTTTAAATCTCAAAAACGTTGTATTAGAGCAATAGCGGGCTTATTAACTACGGACAGTTTAATCTGCTTTTAAGAATTTTAAATTATTAACTTTTCCGTGCTTATATATTTTTGAAAATAGCAATGTTGTTAAATTTAACAGACATTTGTTTCCATTATTTAATGACAGCAGAAAACGATCAACACAGTTAAGATCACAATACCTGCATGTTATCGACGGGCCGATACAAAACTGCACTTCTAAGGAAAAGTGTATATGTGTATGGGGCCTACAATTTATAATAAAATACCAGATACATTGAAAAATTTGCTACTTCAACAATTAAAAATAAGTTGACAGACTTTCCTGGTGGAGAAATGTTATTACTGTCTAACGGATTATTTAAATGATGCGATTTAATTATTATATTGCTTTATTTTTTATGACATTTTTTTTGTAGTTTTTTTGACAAACAAAGATTTCCATTTTATTATTTCTCATTATAATTTTATTGACATATGTAAAAGGTTTTTATATCCTTATTTTATTTAATAATTGTTTATCTTAATTATTTACTATCAGTCATAAATTTTTGTAAGCAATAAATTATATACACAAAAATATATTATATAATATTATTTTAAGATTTGTATGCCGTACGACAGAATGTACCAGGAACTATTTTTTACCTACATTCTAAACAAATAAAGTTTGATTTGATTTTGATTTGATTAGAAATTGACTGAAAATGTTTCATAGGAGAACTAACATAATTCTATCCGGCACCATTTTGTTAGAGAAGCTGTTACCAATAATATTGTTAAAATTATTTACCTGTCAATTTCTGAAAATGCCAGCAGACCTATTAACAAAAGGATTAGGTAGTAAGCATGGCTAATTTGTTAGACAATTAGGTTTAAAGTTTGTAATATTTATGATGTAAGCTCAGTAGAGGTGGAGGTGTGAAAATATTATCAAAATATTTTATTTAAATAGTACTAGCACCGTCTAGTGCTCTATGGTTAAGTCTATGACTTGCAACTTAATAGAATTATATACCAAAAAGGTTCTCGTCTCATTTTCACTTATGCATGTTTAACTTAGTGAGTAAAGAGAGATAAACATAGTGAAGTTGTGGCGATACAGCTGAACACTGATTATTAGAACTTTCAAGACGGATATATGTAGATGCCACTTTCCTTTGTCATATAAATTACCGCTACTGTGACTGACTTACATCTATGACTCTGTTACTTACTCTATTAGTATTATTTACGAGTGTTTGTCCGACGTTAATATCTCGACTTATAAAGTCGAGAAAGATTGAACTTGCACATTTACAGGCAGAGAATGTAACTTTATAACGACACCTATGTGACGATAAGGCAAGCCATCTATAAGGTAACACCAAACTTGCTTCCGTTTTTAGCTTAATTCTAATTGCAGGCATTTGTGCTGACAACACTAAATTTAATCATGTGGTTGCACAATTGGACCAAAGGCTGGTAAGTGAGGTAGAGGATTTGATTACCTGACCTCCAGCGAACGGTAAACAATACTTAAAAATTGATGCATGAACTAATTAGGCGTCTGTCCCTTATCAAAGGAACAGAGAGTGAGACAGCTGATTAGCGAAGAGGAGCTTGGAGACAGGCAACCGTCACAGTTCCTCCGCCATCTTCGTTCTTTGGCTGGGAGTGCCCTATCAGATGACAACATTTTTCGGCGGCTATGGGGACGTCACCTTCCTCGACAAATACAAGCAATCATGGCCACACAGACTGAACTTAGCCTAGACGAGTTGTCTGAACTTGCAGATAAAGTCACTGAGATTCTGGGTGTCACCCAAGTTTATTGTGTGGCTCCAACCTCCTACCTTATCAACTGTATCAACTAATCACAAATTAATATTTAGTGTTAATTTTATGATAGTTTGTATTATTAGAATATCGAAAATCACAATTTTATAATTTAATATAACTTAATAAATTTTATAAATGATTTTAAATGCTATAATTATAATCTGTTGTCACGACACTGCAAACACCAATAAGTGCTTATTATGTCACTAACCGCAAAACAAGCTGTCAAAGACTGTTTAGTTCTCTGCATTTTCTAATATATTTTGCGATCTTGCGAATTAATCTGTGAATTACTTAATATTAATACCACGGCGGAATCTGGATTCACTAAAGGAAATAGTTACAACTTACCCAAGATAGATTATGATAATTATTTTAACAATGGTAATTAGAATCTCAATCAGCAGCAGCGCGGACGTGGACGTTCCGGTCGCGCAAATAAACAGCGTTCTAATCAGCGAATGGAAAGCTTCCGAGACAAGCAGAATACTAGTAGACACGAATCAGAGATGAGTTATTTGCAGGTGTCGAAGATGAGTTTAATAGACTAGCCGAACAACAAACTTTACAAGCAAACATGTTATCGATAACTAGTCGTGGGATCGGATTTGGTACGACCCATCTTACGTATGTCGCCACTCAGTATGCCGACAACATCAGAATTCCGAACATCTACTCTCAATTCAGTGCCTCGAGCACGAAAAAATTTCGAATGCGTATCGTAGACGTATCGAGTCCTCGATACGTTAACGGAGTTTTACGATAGGCGGTAGCACGAAGCACTAACGTTAAGGTATCGAGAGCTCGATACGATTACGTTAGTGACGTCATCCTAACGTAAATAAGGATGAGCACTTAAGAACGAATTCAACATCTTATTGAATGAACTATGCGTTCGAAAACATAATGAAATAGTGAACTTTTAATTACTTTCGGTTAAACTACCTATTTATTGACAATTATAACAAAATATGCTTATATAAATACATAGTAAATCTTAAATGAGTTATGGGACATTTTAAAATTTAGTATATTTGGAGAATTAAAATAATTATTTTGTCATTTTTTTCGGTTTCTGAAAAACACTCCACTTGGCAATTTATTGACATGGCTACGACGCTATGTCAATAAATTGTTTATTATTTTTATTGTAAATTTATCACCAAGTTTAAGATTATTTGTAAACCTTTGAAACTTTAAGAAGCATTTTATAGAAAATATTATGTATTATTACGTCGTGTTGGCTGTCGATTGTGACAAAAATCCAAGCTTCCAATAATAGCTAAGTCGTATACCACTAGATAGTTGTGTTATGTGAAAAGAAATTGATAAAAATTTCTTTAAAATAAACCACAGTAAGTCGTGCCACATTAAATCAAACTGTTGAACAGCACAGACGAAAACGTGTTTCATCATCTTCTGCACCAAAAATCCCAACATCATAAAAGTCATAGTGAGAACAAGCCATTTACAATACGTAGCTATGGTGGAATTCTGGAAAGGTGAGTGTATATTAAATGTACTATTTGCAGTATTGAATGTACTGTAATGTAAAATAACGATGTGATGTTTGAGAATATGATAAATTTCTGACGTTATTACTTATAATTCAATTTCTCGTTGTTATGAGACTTATACTGCTACTTGACATTAAAATAAAGTTTCAATTGTAAATGTAGATAACATCTGTCACTTTATAAATGTTGCTTGAACACCACCACAGCAATCCTACAGATAAACATACCAGGGGACTACTAATGTCTCATATCAGTCAATCTAGGTTTCAGGTACAAGTTCTGCTTAGTTTGAAACTAGGTGGTGTTGTGTGTCAGTTGTCTGAAAATGTTATATTCGTTATTATATAAGTTATAAATGTTGCAATATTTTGTTGTAGATTGGAATACTGCAGGCCAACCAACTGTGGCTCCTCCTTTACCAGCATCTGAGGTTCATTCTCAGTCTTCTCCATTCACAGTGGCGAGGAGTGGAAGTCTCCTGAAGAAAAATAAACTCAAAACAAACAATCATTGCTTGTTTTGAGTTTATTTTATTATATTATTATATTTGTTTCTTTTAACCGTTAATAGAATCGTAATTGTGTGAAATAACATTGAAATTATTAACTAGACATATAACTTTTTCAAAGTAAATAATGTTCTCTGTAAATAACATGTACATGTGTATGTAATGTATAAAAACAACTCTGTATAATTCATTTTAAAATAATGGTAAATAAAAAATATTCATATTAGCTCATTTTTACTATATACCTTTCAACCCTGTCTGCTGGGTAACCCCCTCCATCTAACCTAATTTGGTACGAGCCTGGCAATGCCGCTTTGGATATTTGTTCAAGGAAAAAGCTTACTAAGCAATCCAAGGTCATTAAACAGGTTATAGAGGGATTTAGCTCTTATACCCCTCGCACCCACTTCCACGGCATACAACGCAACGAAATAACCATTTTTAGTTATTTCGTTGGTTAAGTCAAACTACTTCTTACTCTTAGCTTAAAGCGATATATTTTGAAATTCGTTGTCATTTAAATTTAAAGGACTAGCTGGTGCCCGAAACATCGTTTGCGTAGAATTTGAAAAGCGCTGCCTTAGTGGGTTCGATTCCCGGACCGGGCAGTTTTTTTTTAGCCTAAATTACTGCTTATATAGACAGCTACCTGGTATTAGGCATAGGTATCTTGCAAAAAACCGTGTGAGCATGAAAAAAAACCTATTATTTTGTATTACAAACAGACAGAGTTTTCTTCACTTTTATCTTTCTTTGTTTTTCTCTTCGCCTTATTTCACTAAAAAATAATTAACTAGATTAATAGATATATAGGTACATACTAAGTATACTACATTTTATTAATATAGTAGAAGTTTCTTCAAATGTTTCTGACAAATATTTAGTTTACACTTTATATATAAAACAAGATTTGCTCACCTCGAATCTAGTTGTTGAATACCTTTATTTTCAATTAAACTTGCGACAAGAACATACATAGGACTAAAGCGGCGGTCTTTGCATTTTATCTCTACAAAAAATAACCGTTAATACTTGAAAGTAATAGTTTTAAAAGAAATTGATTGTTTCGAAACTTTTCTCACTTCTAAATCTTAGGTGAATAAACATTCGACTAAGGTCGACAGGTGCTCGATAGCCAGCCTTCGAACGTACGTCAAAATTTCATTCGTGGTGCCAATTTTCTTTATAAAGTGTAACGTATCGAATGCTTGACGATACGTTAACGATACGAAAGTAAATTCGAAACGTTCGTGCTGCCAAAATTAGTTACTTTTACGCACGATAGGGGCGCTGCACAAATGTCATACAAATTTTGTCGAAGACGATACGAATACTTTTTCGCAAGTTGTTCGTGCTCGGGGCACAGAGCTTATCTCGCACTATTTGAAGCAAAAGTGATGGACTTGAGGCCACACTATCCTATCATTCCTAGATTCATGGATGATACTAACCAATACTTTGCTTTTTATTGTGCTATTGCCATGCAGTGCACAATAAAAAGCTAATGATAAACTAGTAACTTTGTAGCTATTTTTAACTAGTACCTTTAAAGTATTTATATATATTTATATTTTGACTTGAACAAAGTTCCCAGGACCGTACCGCAACCACAGAAACTATCTAAAACAGAAACACCGCTAACAATCGATTCACTATGGAAGGACTCTTTCGTTCTTGATGGAGAGACGGGGTTTGTAAATGAAATTGCAGCCAAGGAGTTTGAAGCCGAGGCAGCCGGCTACATTAATCTGATTGAGTCAGAGTACAAAGCGATATCCGACGTAGAAAAGTACTACGCTAAATCGATTTCCCAAACTGCACATGTGTACTACCACAGTGTACTCTATTGGTATGAAATCGCGCTGATTGCGCAAAAGAACGGGACCTCATCGAGGGACCAGGACAAGTAAGTCCAGTTTGTGCAAGGATACACATCAGCACAGACCGCTTCAGGAGCAGGGGAGTACCTGGCCGGACTCGGAGACTTCACGGATGCTACAGGGGTTGAGCACCTTGAGCACCTTGCATGCAACGGAGCATGGCCACTTCGGGCGCATCAGCGCTCAGACGCATGGTCTCTACGAGAGCTTGCCTGCGCCTGAACAGTTAAAACAATTTAGGGCCTTTAATTATCTAGCTACGGCTCTGTGCTGAACCGGGCTTTACAAAAGAAGCTTTTGGCACATTAAATAGAAAAGTCAAAGAAACAGTGCACCCTTTAATTTGCGCCTTAGCACTAGATGAAATGTCTATTAGAAAATGTTTAACCTGGAATCCATAGGCACAAAATTTTTAAAAGCACAATACAATTGTGTGAAGTTATTGGAGTAAAAATCACCAGTGTCACTTGTGATGGTCTAGCTGGGAATTTCAGCATGTTCACATCTTTGGGTTGTAATGTTCTGAGGGAACAAACATTGACCAATTCTAACAGCCACGATAGTATAGTCCATATATTCATCGACTCATGCTGTAAAATTAGTGAGGAATTCTTTTGGAGAATTGATAGTCTTCGTTGACCCAATGGGCCGAGAAATAAATTACAAATATATGGAGCTCTTTCTAGGTTTACAAGAAGAGAAAGGTCTTCATCTAGCTACTAAAATTTGTAAAGCCCATATTTTTTTTGAGAAACAAACAAATGAAGCTGATGATCGCAACACAATTATTTAGGCAGTTCCTTGAATGGCAGATGCCCTTGAAAATTAAAAAACATTTGAAAACTGCAGTGAAACTGTGAATTTTATAAACATAACATAAATAATGGACGACGTGTTTGATGTACTCTATAGCCACTCTATTCGGCCACCTGGTTGGAAGAAATCTATGTGGCCATAAAACATGGGCTTTATAAGAGCGCTGTTGAAAGTACTATTGAGTACCTAAAGAGTTTGAAACTTTTTACAAGAGAGCTTTAGTAGAGCCACAGCGAAAGATCGAATTTAATGGTTTGATAGTTAATATGAAAAGTGCGTTAGCATATGTAAGTATATGTGTATCCTCAAACAAGTGCTCCGAAAGTGAGCACTTGTTTGAGGATACACATATACTTACATTCGTCCCACTGTATAAAAGTAGCCAGGACCACCTTAATTATTTTTCAAGCAATAAGGGGCTAGCTTTAAGTCATTCCTCCCCAGTGTCCTATTTTTAAGACACTATTTTCATATATTTTTTTTACATGTTAGGTCTTTTATTTTTAACATTTCTGATGAAAACCAAATTTTTACAATATTTTTCTAATAAAATATTTTTTTTCGCTGTAAAAAATGTTTACGTAATTTTAATGTATTTTTTTAAATTGATCATTTTTGTTACCCCAAGGAGAACATTTAGTTCCGATTTTAAATACCGTAAAAGAAAAAAGTTACCAACTTCAAAGTACATAAAACTGTTTTTTAGACTACCAAATATATAACAAATAAAAACAAAAACAAAATATAATTTGGGAACTTGTGGTATACATTCGAAATAAGCCGTACTAAAATATGACACTGGAAACATGTCCGTACAATTTGCCGCGAAAGCGTGTTCGATCCTGTTACGCTAAGTACAGGTTCGAACGTGTCAATTGTTTGTTTCTTGCGGGTCTTGCTTGTGTTTACATTAGTCGATAAGTCTACGCCAAACACATAACATCTCGTGACACGATTGTGACTATTTTTCGAACTAGAGTTAAAAAAAAATTGTTTATAAGGTTGAAAAAGGGACGTAAAAATATTTGTATTTTGTTCTTTATCAAATATTAAACAATATACCTATATTTATATGTATATGTAGCTATATTTTTTTATTATTATTTATAGATCATGGATCCAGTAAAAAAAAAAAGTATATAAAAGCTTTGAAGGTGTCCGAAATCATAGACTATATTCAAGATATTGAAGATTGTTGTGATGAGGAGTTGAATGACATTGAAGTTGTCATATTGGTTCCGGATGAAGTAGATGAAATGACTGACATAGATGAAGGTCCTGACGACGATATGGGAGTTTTGCCAGTGTCAAATGTACCTCGTCAAGTGGAATTTTCGTATACAATTGATAACGACGAGGAAGATTATTCTACTCAAACCACATCTCGGACAAGAAAGACAGTCACTGGGCCTAAGTGCTAACCAGTGTATTCTGAAATACAGCCGGAATCTAATACTGCTCAAAAATGTTTAGAAAATATGATTACGGAGTTGGAAGGGAAATCAGCGGTAGAAATATTCGAAATCTTGTTGTGTGACGATATTCTTGAATATATTGTGCAGGAACCCTTAACCTACGTCAAACATTATAAAAATGATTTGAACTTCAATATAACTGTAAATGAGTTATAGGAATTTTGTTTTTCTCTTCGTATCCAACCACCACTTGCCTCAAAGTAAACTTTAAATGCTATTTACATTTTAATGACAACACAAGAATTGATAATACTTACAAAGCTTTATACAAGATAAAGCTAATGAATCATTCCGAAAGTTTGGGATATTTAAATCCAATTTAGCTGTTGATGAGATGATTGTCAAATACTTTGGTCACCATGGGATCAAACAATTTATAAAAGGTAAACCAGTGAGGTTTGGATACAAGCTTTAGGCCCGGTTTTGAGTCAGCGGATATTGTTATAACTTTTCGCTTTATACAGGCAAGGATGCTCAAATCTCTGCTAATAATGGTGATGGCTTCGGTTCAGCAGTGGTAAAAAAGTTGCTTGCAGTATGTACAGATCCCAGAGCACTTGCAGTCTATTTCGATAACTTTTTGAGCAGCATGCAATTGTTGATTGATTTGAAGGGTTCAGAGCTACAGGGACGGTCAAGACACAATAGGACTAAGGCCAAAATAGCCGTGAATCAGACAAGACTTATTCATAATTATAATAAAAACATGGGAGGCGTGGATAAACATGATTTATCATGATGAAATTCTAAATATCCAATCCGGCCTCTAGTCATCCGTATTATATATTTTGGTCACTGTATAACGAAGAGGGACAAACAGAGGCGTTGCCAAGGACAAGGTTGTAAAACAAACCTCTGACCTTTTGTGTTAAATGTGAAAAAACACGACAGTGATTGTTTTATACCTTATCATACAAAATATACTCTTTTTTTTTAACTGTTTGTATGTAAATAAAGCTGATTTTCTTATAATTGTTCACTTTCATTATTTCTGATCACATGACCCCACTGTCATATTTATAGGACAGGCTGACTCAGCAATTATTATTTTTTTGGAAAAATATTTTTTCTCAATATATTATGTACTTAATTTAAAGACTTGATCAAGAAATTCCAATGTTTTCGATGCTTGGGAAGTAATGGGTTAACAATAAGCCTAATTCTGGCCAATTTCACCAGCATACAAAAAAATCTGAGATAAGAGAGGGCGGAGATAGAGATGAGAGCTGAGATCAGAGAGGGCGGAATTGGTATTGGTACACACAATGGGTGTTAGAATATATTGCAGGTTTCGTGAGGCGGAAGTTGTCACAGACATAAAATGTGTCACCTGTTTATCACAACAAAATGCAGACAGCTTGAATTTCCAGAAGTCCAGGTGGCCTTCGGTATGCATCTGCTGCAGTAGTAGACATTATAAATAAAACCGAAAAATTCATAAAACCCGACCTCACGACCCAAAACGAAGCCAGAAAATTATTATTTATATATTTTTAAGTTTTTGACAGAATATTATGAATGCGGAAACTTTTTATAGTTGCCACTCAATACTGAGCACAACATAAATCACAGTTACTTATAAAATTCGTTATTATATGTCCACCGGAAAGACACAGCGTTGATTTGAAGATGCTGCTTGTGTTTTTTCATTTTTCTACGTAATTAGTCTAAGTTACATACCTTTCTGTTCTTTCTTCGTTTATTAGTTACCTAAACTCACAGCAGAGGGCGCCACAGTTCATTTCTATTCTGTGCGCCTGATGACAGTTTGCCATAGCGTTTGTGTTTTTTGGCGGTTGAGTATAGCAAAAAGTTTTTCTGTGTAAAAAATATTTAGTTTGAGTTTATCTTTGTTGTAACTGAATTTTTCAAAATATTAATAAGTATTTTTAACCTTAATTTAAAGGTTAGTACAAAGAAAACGTGCTAAAGTAGCGGTAAGTTAAGTGTCAGAATTATGACTCCTACAATGGAAAGCGAGGAGGCGCAAGTTTGAGTTTATCTTTGTTATAACTGAATTTTTCAATATATTAAAAAGTAGTTTTAACCTTAATTTAAAGTTTAGTACAAAGAAAACGTGCTAAAGTAGCGGTAAGTTAAGTGTCAGAATTATGACTTCTACAATGGAATGCGAGGAGGCGCAAGTAGTTGCTCCGGAAGGAGAACGAAACGCCACGAGCTCAAGCTCGGATAACAAGTCCTCTCCTTCTTCTTCGGAAGATGAGGAGGGATTTGCCTCGCCGCGGCCCAATAAACGACCCAAGCGTAAGTCAATACATGTCGCTACGTGTTCGGACCCCCGTATACTAGTTTGTGTTCCACCAGCTGCCAGGAACCGAAGTGTTGCACATAAGCGTTCATATGGTGAAATCGGTACGCGAAAAACTGTATCTTGTCTTTTTATTAAAGGGGAAATCAAATCCAGCAGCTCCTTAAACACTTCCTCGGTCATCCTTAAATAATTTCTGTAACCATTTGGTTCACCAATAACTTCTGCTACTAAGTTTACATCGGACAAGCGTTGTCTCTCTTGCAGCCAGTTTTTGACCCACACTTTGTGGCGTTTTTTTTTTTCTTTGGTTGTTCTTCTTGTAGGAGTATTCCTAAGTAACAAAGTAGTTCCGTCTGGGAGCACGACATGACTTCGCCAACGATGAGAGTAGTCTGTTTGGCACGCTAATGGATCACCACCGCGAGTCGACAGTCCAACGAGCCTAGAGTTTATACCGATATCTCGCCGACTCGCCAATGGATTACCCGCTTAACATTACACCTTATACATATAAATTGTAAATACGAACAAGCCCCGTTATAGAAACCACTTATTAAGGCCGCCGACGTCTAGGATATTTTCGGACATCAATTTTTTTTTTATATAACCTATATTGGCGTCATGGTATCGAAAGTACTTGGTACAATAGGTATTTAATGATGTGGTGAAAAACGCAGTTCACTTGTGCCGCCTTCTATCGCTTAAGGGGGTAGAACAAATCTTAGAAGACCACACGTGGGAGTGAGTTCTGCTGCTGCGGAAAGTTTGTCTCTGACAATTAATAGGCTGCAATAAGGCGAACGATCCTTCCATATTTGTGTTTCTAATACAATATGTTTTGTTTTTAAATAAGTGTTGCAAATGGTAATGCCAGGGGGGCGTTGTTGTGCTTTGAATATAAATCTTAGATACTGAACATTACGGCTACATATAAATTGTAAATACTAGATTAGGTAAATTTAGTTTCCGTAGTTTGTGGTCAGGCATGTGCAAGTAGTTGATAAATTAGATAAATAATTTTAAAATGGTTCGGCCATGCAATTGAATCGTTTCATATTTGTGTACCTCGTTTTTAAACTGTAGCCGTGAACATCACTTTGACAGACTTTGTTGTTACTTATTTGTTACAAAGGTGTTCTTATCTAAACTTATAAAACAGATACGTTTACAAAGTTTTGAATCTAATGTAACCCTGTACACATCGGATAAAAAGCTAATAGCTGTGAATACTGTTTTGTCACTATAATTGAATAAAATATTTTGTCAAAATGGATGTAAATATTAAAATGGAACTTTGTTCAGGACACTTCTTTTGAGGCGAGTACAGGATCAGCCAGCAACATCTACATCATACCTTGAACCAATGGAAACCGACAATAGATTGCATGATGCCCAAGATAATCATAATCCTGCATTTTATATCCTAAATAGAGAGGATATTTCAAAGTTGTGTTTTTCGTAAGCGTCACCTATCAAAAAAATTCAGGACAAGCATTCCGACAACAATGACAGTTCGAAATGTAATGAAATTAGAGCAGCCATACAGTTTTTCAAATCTGGAATTGTTGAATTATATAACTCACAATTAATTAACATTTTTTGTTTATTTTTTATTACATGCATAATTACTTTGATACAAAACACATGCATTCATTTTTCAAGCTTTCTTAACAAGGAGAAAATAACTCGTTATTCCAAGTACTGAGTTTAACAATGTCGCGACTGTACGCCATTAGGCAATGCCCCTGAGGGACACGCCAGAGATCGAAGAAGATATCCTAGAATGGTTCGAGTTAAAAAATTACACAATATTTACGGTCGCTTGTAAGAAATTGCCTCCTAGCTATAGCCGAAATTTGTGATTTTCTACTTTAGTTAGTTATTTGGCAGTATTATGCTTTATAAATGACACGTGGATGACGGGTTAGTACGAGATTTGAAGAGAAAGTTCACGATCCTTCTGGAGCTCGGTTTGACAAACAAGGAAGTCATCAACACAAATGGGTACGTTCTGCGATATACTCGTAGCTAGTACCCAAGTGCGAAGAAAAGCGATAGTAATTTGGCCTGCGTAGTAAGAGCCTGTTATAGTGGCCCCCTTTTCCAAATATTCCACCATAATAATTCCTTCTGCATCCCAGAAAACAGACGCCATAACCTTTCCCGCTGAACTTGACACTTTGAATTTCTTCGGCGTTGGTGAGGAAGCTCGTTTCCAAGTCATTGATTGTTGTTTGGTTTCGGGATCAAAGTGGTGGATCCAGGTCTCGTCCATGGTCACAAAACGCGACAAAAAAAATTCTTTATCGGCCTGGAACTTTTGAAGATTCACCCTCGAAATGTCGACTCGTTTCTTTTTTTTTTCGTCGGTTAACATTCTCGGTACCCAACGCGCAGAGAACTTTTTCATATGCATTTTGTTGACAATGATTTTTTGAACGCTGCCATAGGAGATCCCTGTGACCTCAGCTACATGCCTTACGGTCACCCCTTCGATCGGCTAACACGATATCTTCCACTTTTTTGACGTTTTCTCCAGTAAGGGACGTGGAAGGGCGTCAACATCATTGAAAATTCTTGTTAATTGCAAATTTATGTTTAATGTAAAAAAAAAAACAAATTAGTACATGTCATGGGTAGTCATAGTCATCCCTTTCAAACCTTACTGCAACGAGGTGCGCATGCGCAAAAAAAATTAAACTTTTATTTCGCGAGACGAAACCTATAACGAACGCTCGTGCGGGCTGTGTGCGTTGTAATAAAAGAACCGGCCAAGTGCGAGTAGGATTCGCACACGAAGGGTTCCGTACCATTGTCTACAAAAACGGCAAATAAAGGTTTGTTGTATGGGAGCCCCCCTTAAATATTTGTTTTATTTTAATTTAAATATTTATTTTTAAAGTAAATAAATATTTTGTGAATGTTTCAAGCGACTACCTGTTGCCCCTTACGTTAAGTAGCTATAAATAAACAGAATCCTATCGGGCTAAAAAAAATATTGATTTAACCTTTTTAGTAACTATTTTAGAGATATGTTATTTTGTTAGTTAGATAGATTGTTTGTTAGGTAGTTATTTATTTGGTACTTTTTAACTAGCTATTTTAGACAAATGGGAGATCGAAGACGTTTTGAAAACTTAAACTACAAGAACAAATCGACAATATTTCGTTAGTTCAGGAATATACACTGATGTCATTAACTGCGAGTAACTTGTTATGCAATTTGAAAGGAAGCCAGGATACACTCGTAGACATTCTTACCAACATTCACCACGGCCAGTTTAATATACATTTACTTACTCCCGAACAATTACAGACAGAGCTTAACACGATTTCGGCGCATTTATCAGATGACACGATGTTGCCAATTGACCCACTGAACATCAGAGAATTGAATCCGTTACTACATTTGAAGGCGAGACTCACAGAAAACTATTTCCTGTTTGAAATAACATTTCCATTGATTGGTAGAGACATATTTAAGTTGTATAGAATCATGCTTGCACATCAGATTGAAAGTTCTATGATGGAACTTATACCGCTAGCCGAATACATTGCGACTGATTTGAAAAGAGCACTTAACATTACTTTTACTTCTGATGAACTTGCCCTTTGTAACGAACAGAAAACATATGCTATTTCAAGAAACCGGTATACCATCAAAGGAGTGATCTGAATTTTTGTGAACTAGAGGTCAACACAGAGAAGTGTAAAATTAAAAGGTCGAGGTGTGAAAACACTACTGTCCGGTAAATATACTTTGTGGGGAATAAATTAGCATGGGACATTTTCGGAAATCATTGGGAGAGGCCTATGTCCAGCAGTGGACAAGCATAGGCTGAGGTATATATATATATTTATCCCAGATTAGAATCATATACATAGAGCCTGGTTGCTTGCTAAAGGATCAATTCACACTGGACATTCCAAAGAACACCGAGAACAAACTCAGGCTAAGTAGCTCTGTTTATAGCCCAGAGATAGATCAAATGAATTTTTTGATGAACACCTCCATGATGTGGGCTAATCTATCAGAAGTAACAGAATCTAGCGATATAGTAGTTGAGCTAAATAAACTAACATCAGCGTATTGAGGAGATGAAGAACAGAAGAGTAGAAATGGATGGTCGACCCATGATGTTCATCTTTACGCGGTAAGCTACATCCTGGTGGGAGCGCGGTTCGTAGCGGCTGGCGCGCTGTGGTGCCGCCCCCGCATATCTCCGGACAAAGAGCTTCAGTCCGCCTTACTGCGCTGAATCGAACGCACAATCACCACTCATATTTTATAAATTTAAATTATATTTTATAAAGTTGAAGAGGTGATTTTCCTTTTTCTTATTTGATGTCTAGTAGTTCTAGAAGCAGGAGTTCATCTTAAAGTGTTAGCAGGAAAAGGGATCAAGCATCAAGAAGAGGTTCAATAAGGAATCTGATAAAATTCTTTGACTCGGATTCAAGCCGAGATAATAGCCCTATTAATATAAAAGACGAATTAAAAAGAGAAGTCAGAACCATGTCTTCTGAACAGCACATAATTGACATGAATAGACAGTTAAATCAGCTGTCTGATCTAAAAGTGTCTTCTAATTACATCAAGTCATTAGTTGATTCCCTTAGTTCTGTTAGAAACTCTCTAATTGATTGGGTTAGTGGTAATATTGCATAGGTTTTGATGCAATTGAAATGAGGGAGAAATTAACAAAAAATTTAAATGGAAAATTGATTATAATAGGGGTGCTGATTAGTTTAGTGAGAGGGAATAACGTTGATAGAATATAGTCTTCAATGAGATCAGCAGATGCTAAGAGAGACTTTCAAGACCTAGTAACAGCTGCAAAACTTAAGACTAGAGTGGGAGGAGATTACAAAGCTGTAACTTTATCTAGAATGATAGCATGTTTCCCTGAGATAGTCTGTGAAATTTTAAATTATCATCATGACTTACCAATGGCTGTAGACCATTCTCACCTCTTACTGATCCATAAGGAATATCCATCAGTAGCCAGACATCAGGTTATTGCATGCATTATTCCTCAGTCCTTTTCAGCATCTCGTTTATCTAAGCCATTAGATGTATTTATGGTTCTGTATCTTTTAACATCTTATCAGATCAATCAGAAAAACCCAGAATGGAAGAAAAAGACTAAGCAGAATAAAGCAATAGAATCGAGCACTTATCTCAACAACTCTTATAATTCAAAAGTCCTCAATGAGAGTAAAAGAGTTGAGTTGAGCACAAAATATGGGTTAATTAAACAAGATGATCTAACCTCACAATGGGAAGCTGTTTCTGTTGCTGCTAAAAGATGGTTAGAACATAATTATAGCTTTTCACATCATTTGGTTGAAGAGTGAAATAGAATTTATTATTTTATAGTTTATAAATCATAACACCATGTTAATTTTAAAATAAATATTCTTTAGTCTTTATTTTTATTTAATCTCTTATTATAATCTGCATGTTTAGTTTAATTTATTATTATTCTTCTCAATTTTAGTTTTAAGTTAGGATAAGTGTAAAAAAAAAGTATTAACAAATTTAAGTCTTTAATAAAGCTAAAACTGTGTGAAAAGGCTTACTACACTATTACAGATTATTTAGACTACAAATTTGCTTGGGATTGATGCTGCTCACTCCCACATTTACGTAGACATCTTTGTTGTTAAGTTTGAAAGTGATGGACATTTTTTTTTTTTTGGGTGTATTTCGTATTTTGTTTGCTTCAATTTGTTTATTTTTCGTTGAATTTGAATTGTATAGTTTTTTTTTTTTGTGTAAGTATGTAAATGTGAGTATAGTGTAGGCTTGTAATGTTAATTCATATTTTATTATTTTTCTGGTGGTTTTGAGTGTATCCACGGCCTACCCAAATGCCCTGCTGGCGGTAGTGTCATGCTTCGGGTCGTTGGTCTTGACCAATATCGGTTAAGCTACACGATGGCTGGAGCCTGTATGCCGTCTGTATGGACAGGCTGACTCAAAACTATGGTCCTTTCCTCAAAAGGCCTACCCAGACCCTATACTGTACTCGCACAGTTTTATTTAACTTTGTTTACGGACTTAAAAAAAAGACACCTCTGTGGTTTGTTTCGGCGTTTCTTCCCAGACTGAGTCTTAGGAAATGCCGGCTCCTTCTAGCTATAAAGTCCGACTTATAAAAAATCTGAAAAAATTTACTTACAGAAATAAATATCATTTATCAGCCTACAGTGGGAAGTGGTGTAGTGAGCAGTGCGTGGGTGGTTGACCGACAGCTTAGTGTACAAGCGATCAGTGAGAGTGCGCGACATGATATGGGTCACCGGCGACCCAATATTTACGGTGAAATAAACAGAAAGATCAATCCTGTTCTCCCATGCCTAGGAAACATTTAGAATTAATACCATAAATACTTCGTTTTTGTCGTCATTCATCATTTTGTAAACATCTACTCTATTATCATTTCATGGCCATCTCATTTAAAACTCTGTAAACTTTCAACTCTCATCTTCTCATTCTTTTGGTGCCCCGCAATATGTTCGGTGTAATACATATGTATAACCGAACACCTTAGTAAGCACTAAGTGAGTGACGCGTTTACCTATTTAGAACACACGTTTACTTGCGCAGTGCACTTTGGGTGACCGCGATATTCGGGTGCATTCGTAGCAACATTATAACATTTTCATTAAACATAACATTCAACTAACATTTCTAGCCTTTAAGAACATGTTGTGAACTGGAACAATGGACGATTAGGGTGTAACAATTTAAAACATTACTTTTATTTAACAAACACTGCAACCCTCGCGCTACCCCGTACAATAGTGTCTATTGCTTCTAAAAATCTGGGGGTTCAACCCATAAGTACTGTGAAGCGTTATTCACAGAAAGATAAAACGAATGTACAGGTCCACCGTCCGCATCTTTTAGGTGAATATAATCGTTTCATGGGAGGCGTCGATCGTATGGGCGAGACTATAAATATGTATCGAATACACATTAGAAGCAAAAAATGGTATTGGGCCCTGTTTAGCTGGATGCTTGTATTCACAACGCTTGGCAACTACAACGGAAAGCGGACACTACATTTTAGTGCCCGCTTTCCGTTATAGTTGCCAAGCACAGCTTGATTTCAGAAGGGAGATTATGTTACATTATTTGAACAAATATAACTCTATACCCAATGGTAAGGGAAGGTCGTGGGTTCAATGCCCACCCAGGACAAATAATTGTGTAATTGTGATGAGCGATATCATTAGTTCTGATTCATCATCATCATCATCAACAGCCTTTAACAGTCCACTTCTGGACATAGCCCTCTCCTTAGAAAGGAGGTATTGGCCTACCATACCACGCTGGCCAGACGGGTTGGTATAGGATTCGTTTCAAGTTTTCCTTCTCTTTGCAGTGATGTTGTCCTGCCCAGTTTGCTCCCTTAGTCGTCTCTTACGACACCCACGGGATGAACAGGGGTGGTGACATTCCGTATTCTTAATCCATCACCACACGGACAGTTCTAGGTTTGGGTATAATTTATCTATAATATTTCTGTATTTAGAATATTTAAGTATGTTTATCAGCTGGTTACCATACCAAATTATTAACCCTTCCACAGTGGAGGATCCGGCTACCGGTTCCCGGTACACCACCCCTCACAGTGGAGGGACCGGCTCCCGGTTCCGTTCGAGTGCGCCACAGAGGCTTAAATAAATACGTATCTTACGATTACTATGGTTTTTACGTAGACATATTATCTGTAGATGTAGAAACCATGAACGGGGGCGTTCTCTACATCTATTTGTTCTACATCCGTGGTACAAAAAAAAAATGAAAAATTCGCTGTTCAATCTGTGGCCTGTTCAGTCAGAGTTTGCTGCGATTGCTGCGAACAACAATAGTTTTGGTGGTGTAATTTTGTAAGTTTTTGGTAATTCTACGTGGAAAAACATGGAACAGTAAGTAATATTTCATTTTATAAACTAACATGGACGTATTCTTTACATTATTAGTCAAAAACAACCTTTGAAACAACAGCCAAGTCATTTTAAGAATTTGTAGGTGAATTTTGTTTTGTCATATTTCATTGAAAAATTATTAAAACCCAAACAAATATGTGTAATGAGACAACTATTATAGTGAACTTCAATCTAATTATTACAAAATACGTGTATTTTAGTCGCAAATGCAAAAATTTCGACCTCAAAGTTACGGAAACACTCACAGACCGGTTGCCGGTTCCCCCACAGCTAAGTATTTTGCATGACGATATGGCTGCCGGTTGTATAAATATGGATAAGACTTTTGAATTTCATATCAATTTTTTTAATGATTTATTTTTTGTTGTATGTATTAGTTATTTGATTTTTTTATATTTTATACCAGTGATTGGATTTTTTGCATAAGCCAATTTCTAGGTTGAACTAATTAATACATTTTTTTTATTTTTATCGACAGATAGATTTTTAATTGTTTATTTTTAACTTCTTTTCATTTTGATTGGATTGATTGCTTTTAGCACTTTTAATGTTAACAATTTTTTAACCTTCCGACGACCTCTGTGGCGTAGCGGTAGTGCATTCGACTACCACGCCGGGGTCGCGGGTTCGATTCCCGCTTAGTGCAAATATTTGTATGCATTAATATGACAATTTGCATTGGTCTGGGTGTTTCTATGTATAATATTATGTGTTTTTACAAAAAAAAAAGGATATAAGTATTAGTATCCGTTGTCCGGGTAACACAAGCAGGTCAAGCCTTGATTACTTTGGGACCAAATGGCGCTGTGTAAAAATGTTCGGAAATATTATTATTATTATTTATTTTGCACGCACAGTTTGTTTATGTTGGCTTTGTTTTGCATGAAATAGATCTACTAACAATGCTGAAGGTCGTGGGCTTGCTAGGCGTGGTCGTATGCGTTCACGTGGCGCAAGAGGAGTGCGAACGCGTGGTGGGCAAAGAGGTGGTGGTCGTCTCCCTGGCAGACCTTCGGTGTCTGAACCGTAATAACCTCTTAAAACTTAATTATTAATAATGATTAATATTTTTTAAACTTATTTATCCTTATTTAATATTGTTTTTGGTTTATTTTATTTTCTGTTTTATTTCTTTTTTGATTTATTTATTTGATATTTATTTTAATGCCAATACGTATTTTAGAGTGTTCTCTGGTATGCTGGAGAACCTGCCAGAGGGCCAAGCGTTAGAAAGGCCAATCCGACCTAAAAGGATGAGGGTTCTACCCGCGACGGTGACCATAAACCCATGGTGAGTATTCTGATTGTTTTAAATACTTATATATACATAACAGAAAAAAAATCTATGGCTTTGTTTTCAGTTCAGAAACTTTGTGGTCGTCCTTGGAGATGATCACCCCATCAACCTCTCGCGGACAAAATCCGGTGCCAATGCCTGCTGCACCCCTTTCTCAGCATAATATTCCTGCACCGAGGCCCTCAGTGTCCCATATGGACGTCTCTAAGACGGTGCCATCAACTGCCCCGTAAGTATTTATGAAATAATGTAACCTATTCTGTAAAATAAAAAAAATAAAATAAATTATGTTAGAGAAACTTTTTTTTAAATGCTATTTTTCGTAGATACGTTGAATGTGGTGCAAGCAGCGGGGCAAGAACATCTATGTCCAAGCGACCGGTGTAAGTATTTATCAAGTATATTTTAATTTGTTTATATTTTTGTTAAGTTTATACGTTATTAAATATTTCTTTTATTTTTTCAGGAGTCCAGGCGTTGGCGATGCTGGCGAAAAAAGGCATCGACATCTGTAAGTTCATCTCGGTATAACACCTACTATGTAAAATAATAACTAGCGTTGATTAAAATATCCTTTTTATTTTATAGAATCCCTTCTTCTCGTTCCGGATCCCTCCGTGATGATATGATAACATCTATACTTAATTATGGTAAGTGCATTATGACATCAACCTTTTTTTCAACGTTTCGCTGAAGTAAAATACCTATTACAAGCGAAACCAGAACCTTTTACTTTTTTCCTTTCAGGCAGCGAAGAAGAATCAGAAGAAGAGGAAGAAGAGATTAACCACTCGATATTGGTGCCCCGGGCGTTAAAGAGGTATATGGACGAAGAAGATGAAGATGAAGTTGAAGAAGGTATCGTCAACGTTACTTTGGAGTGGCCTCCTCAACCTCCTCGACCATCCTCAACGCCCGCCTCACCGACGCCCGCCTCACCAACGCCCGCCTCACCGACGCCCGCCTCACCGACGCCCGCCTCACCGACGCCTGTTTCGCCGACTCCTATGGAGCCGAGCAACAAATTTGATTTTGAATGGAGAGCGTTTCCAATGCTTCAAATTCAACCTAATTTGGGGCGAGAACCGTTCTCGCAAATTAATATTGGCCCTACTGTGTCTTTCACGAATCCATATGAAGCATTTATTGCCATATGGCATCGTGAAATCATGGAAGTAATTGTCAGGGAAACCAACATTTACGCACAGCAGTTGACAGCGGCCATGTTGGAGAATGCGGCGATCCGTCCCCAAAGCCGGATTACTCGATGGCAAGATACAAATGTAAATGAACTTTACACATATCTTGCCATCATTCTAGCTATGGGAATTGTGGTCAAAAGCCGGTTAGAGGAGTACTGGAACACGTCTAAAGACATTTTCAGTACTCCTGGCTTCTCCACGGAGATGTCGTATGACAGATTCATGCTGCTGTCAAAATGCCTACATTTCAATAATAACAACGATTGTGACTCTGCATTGTTGACACGACCCCAGGCTAAGCTATTTAAAATTCAGCCGTTAATAGACCACCTCAATCGCAAATTTTCAGGTTTGTACAACCTATCTCAAAATTTGGCTCTTGATGAGAGTCTGACCATGTGGAAGGGCTGGCTTGATATAAACCAGTTCATCCATAACAAGGCAGCGACAGTTGGAATCAAAACTTATGAAATATGTGAATCCCAGACTGGGTATTTGTGGCGTTTTGAAGTACACGCAGGCCATGACACCTCGGTACTTCCAGAAAATGATCCAGTTTCTGGGATAGTACCAGCTCTAGTGCTCAGACTTTTAAATGGTCTTGAGCATAAAGGGCACACAATATGGATGGACAATTTTTACAACTCTCCAGCACTGGCAAGAGAGCTGAAGATCCGGGGATTTGACTGTGTGGGGACGCTCCGTACAAACCGCCAATTCGTACCATCTGAATTGGCGAGTATCACAAAAAAGGACTTGACTGTTGGTCAAGTGTTAGGATGCAACTCGGGAGATGTGGATCTTATGGTGTGGAGGGATAAAAACTGTGTGGCTTTTATCTCAACATACCATGGTCTTGCAACTTCCAGGTGTGGCCATACACTGAAACCGACAGTCGTACAGGACTACAATGTTTGTATGGGCGGAGTAGACCGCAAAGACCAACAACTTGCAATGTACCCCATTGAAAGAAGGAGGACCAAAGTGTGGTACAAAAAGTTTTTTAGAAGACTCTCGAATGCTAGTGTCCTGAACTCATACATTTTGTTAAAAAATCAGTCTTTGACACACCGGCAATTCCGGAAGGTGTTGATTACTGATTTATTAACAGCACATAAAACACATGCACCCACCCCAACCATCAGAACATCTGCACATTTGCCAGCACAATACCCCTTCATTAAGGAAGGAGGAAAGGATCGCCTTAGACGCCGATGTGCAGTATGCAAAACCCGTACATACACCTACTGTTCAGCTTGCGAAGTGGCAATGTGTATTTTCACTTGCTACGGGCCATACCACGATTTACACTGACACTACGCACTTTTTTTATCATTATATTGCACACACACACTGTCATACCGCACTTCACACTGACACTATACACTGTTTTTTTATCATTATATTGCACACACACAGGGTATTTGGGCACTAATGTTCAAGATAACTCTAAAAAAAGCTCTGGGTCGGGTAGGTGTTATTACCATCCATATTGTTGTGAAGTACTAGACAAAAATGCTGCATTATGTGTTGGTAGATATTTATTTTATTTATTTGTAGGTATGTTTTATACACTTTTTTTTGTGCATGTAGGCTTTATATTCTAATTCTAATTCAAATAAATCTTTATTCCGTAAAATTTACTAAAAATTTTGGATTACGCGGCATGGCGTGTTATCACTTCTGTCGGGCGTCCCGAGACGCACACGTTTTTTTTTGTCTGTGCTTACCAGGGTCATGTCACCAATGCAACTTGCAATCATTATAGATGGCTCATTCAAATTCAATGTATGTTTGTGTATCTAGGTAGTATCTGGGTAACTATTTTTTTTATAAAACTTTTTTTTCAAGCACACAATCATTAAAACAACTGTTTATTTGACTTGATTTAAATAAAAATAAGTTAAAAAAAAAACAAATCATATTGAATATTTTTATTTGAATAAGTCGCATCCATACTATTTAGCCTTCATGGAGCAAACATGTACATTTTTCACTATGTTTATGAACATGGTTTCTGATATTTTTCTTCCAAATATGTAGCTATTTTCATTGGAATGAATGCCTAGTTCTATGTTAATCTTGAATAATTAATTATTATAACACTTGTAAGCTCATATTTTGCAAAATCTTAGTTTTTATGAGACATTGTTTTTTGTACCAATTATGAGTCTCATATTTGAAACATTCAAACTCAAGATCTGTAGAATATACCAACGTGCCATTGTTTAAACTAGCTTGGGAATAAACTTAAATTATTGTAAACAAAACACGCTTTGTTCCTGATGCCAAGAATGTATTATTATCAAATGAAATATGCGACCCACTTAAGTGGCATTTGAAGAGGGCCTTTTTTGTTCCAAAGTTTAAAAACAAGTGCAGTATAAAAAAAATGTATTAGAACATGTGCTATTTGATTTTTATTTTATCATATACATAATATTGTATTAAAAATATATAATATTACATCCAGCAAGCGTTTTATTTTTTATTAATCAGAATATAAAACTTAACTTCTAGGTAACCCATATTATTTCTCATAGAACAGTTACAATACAATTCAAAGTCAAGTGTAGTGTAGGAAATTACATAAAGAAATAGATTGTATTGATAAAACTAATTGGAGTTAAACCAGATTCCAATTAGATTTAGAGAAAATCAGGATTTTCTAAGCCTAGGTCGAGTCTAAACCCTGGACAGTGGAGGAACCGGTAGCCGGCTCCACAGGTAACCCGAATTCCATGTTTTGACAGCTCCACTGCTGACAGGTTAATTGGTATTACTAACGTTAAAAAATTAAAATACATTTATTGTAAGTTTGTTACTCCTACACACTGCAATGAATTTAAGTGTTAGTGTGTTAGTTAAAATTCAGAGGGCTTGCTGCTTCTCATCACTAATTTGTGTAAAGATAACGCCGCATGTACCATATATGATAACTACACTGACACACTTATGTGTCAGTGTAGTTATCATATTATGTCATACATATAAGACTGACTTGTAAAATTAATGTAATATGTTTCAGGGAAAGGAATATTAGTAGAACATGCGAAGGAAACTGCCAGAAAACAACTTTTCTTTGATGAGCTATTTGACTCTGTCAATGGAAGCTTCCGTAATTTCAAGAAAAAACCAGGCAAGAAGTTGCTTGGTCCTCTTACACCTAATTCCACTCACCAGAAGGTTTGAAATGAGGCAAAGGTCGTTTTAAAAACGATGACTTTCATTGACAAAAGCGACAAGACAGGGACAGTGACTTCCATTACAAATTGGTTAAAAACGATTGAAAATATTGGAAAAAAATAATAAAAATGTAACAATTTTAATATTAAATCAATATGGCTACGACACTTGAACCAAGATCCTCTGGAAAACTTTTACGGATGCATTCGCAGTCATGGATATCGAAAAAATAATCCCACATGTGTAGCCTTTGAAGCAGCATTTGCTTCGCTGCTAATTTTAGTGGAAGGCACTCCCCTGGTGCAAACTGCGAAAAGGATAGGTGCTCACTGAGCACCTATCCATTTCTATTTCTATCTAAAAAAGAATCTAAAAAAATTAATCCACTTTTATGGCCAGCATTAGAGTATGTGGTTTTAAAAACGCTTTTGATAGTGTTGACACTTTATGCAGGTCGCAGAGTTCTTACTTTATTACCTACATTTAAAAAAATCGAGTTGCTTTATCCATTAAATTAAAATATTCATTTTGTTGGTGACGAAATAATTTTTTTAAATATTTAATTATTAATTTTGTATACGCAGGTATAGTAGTAATATGCCACGCATCTACAAACCAGACCCCCGAGGTAAGAAGTATTTAATATATGACGTCAACTTAATACCCTAATAATAGTTCCCTTGATATTATCTCAAAAAAATACAATATATGACGGCAGCCATACTGTATTCAGGCCGCGAGAGACGGCGACTGGAAGGCGCTAGTGGAACGTGCACCGGACGCACCATTTGAAAAATTATTTAGTCGATTTAATTTTATATCGATTATTTGGCTCAAAAGACTTGGATTCAAACTAGTAAAATATTGTGACGTTTCCCCTCCCCAAGCGACCGCCTTTATAACGAGCTGCGCTGTTGAGCCGGCGCGCGGATTCGCTCGGACGTCGACGAAGCAACACCTCCGCAGCTCCCGAAGACTCACGAAGCCTGACGAAGTTGCCCGAAGCTGTTGCTGCCTGCACGGAACCGTTTTCTTTGCTCCCCGGCCTTTGGCCGAGTGTTCGCAGGAGACGTCCGCCCACCGATGCAGTGGCAAACAAACACAACAGTGCTGATATAATTGTGGGTCGACCACAGCCCAATTTGGTTTTCAGCGGTGAATCTGTTGTGTTTGTTTGCAACCCCGTGTGACCCCTGCGCCGCCCGGCTCCGGCCGAGCGACAACCACCAACCTCCTAGGGCAGGCCGCGCGCTTTCTAGCGCCAGCTATGCCCAGGAGACGTGCCAATAACCCCAAGGAGGGTGACGCGGGCTCCCCTCGCGCTCCGCAGGCTCGAGCTGCACCTGCGCTCGCCAGCGTTGAGCATGAGGGTGAGCACCGCGCACCCATGCCCCAACCGGAAGCGCTCGCGCGTCGCCCCCGACAAAGGGCCACTGCGCAACCGCGCGCCGCGAGTCGCGCTACGAGGTCGCCGGAAGCGGCGATCCTCGAGCGAAGGACTCGACGCCGCGCACCCCAGCCGACCGCCGCGGAGCCTCCCCGCGTCACCAAATGAAGGCCGAAACAAGACGTGAGATCCAGGAGTGGCTAGCCCGCCAACGACTGCCAACACGAACGCCTCCGCTGTCCGCCTCCTCGCAGGCAATGGACACGGACGCCCCACCGCCACCTACCCCCACTCGTCGTCAGCACAGCCCCGAAGAGGCGGAACAGTGCGACGATAGGAAGCGCCCCTGCCTCACCACCCGCGAGAGGTCCCCGCTGTGCTCACAGCGCGACCCGCGGGTGGTAAGAAGGCAGCAACAGCAGGACGAAGGCCGGCGGGTCGACACCTACGCACAGATCGCGAGGTCCCCGCCCCCCCCAGCCGCCTCCACTGTCGGTACCGCAGAAACTGCGACTACCGCGCCGCCCCAGGCGCCTAAGCGTCGCTATCCGCCGCTAGTAGTAGAGTACCTACCCAATTGGACCACTCACACGAGAGAGCTCAAGCGTATCTTAGGCAGGGCCGCAAACGCCCGCCCCTTCGGCAAGGGGATACGCTTCTTGCCCAAAGACGACCAGGAGTACCGGCTCGTCCAGCGCTACCTCACGGCGCTGGAGAAGAACGAGGGTATCTCCTGGTTCTCCTACTCCCTCCCGGAGGAGCGCAGCTTAAAGGTGGCCATCCGTGGCCTGCCAAGCAACGCGACGCCGCAAGAGGTGGAGCAGGAGCTCCGAGACCTGGGCTTCGACCCCGAGTATGTGCGTAACATACGGGGTCGCGGCGACCGTCCCGGGTGCATTCTCCTCGCCATCCTGAAGAGGACACCAAACCTGACACCGGGGATATACGACATCGAGGAGATGTTAGGAATCCCCGGTGTGAAAATAGAAGCCTGGCGCGACAAAAAGAGGCCCGCGCAATGCCACCGCTGCCAGCAGTTCAGGCACTCCAGCCACCACTGCCACCGCAGACAGGCGTGTGTGCGGTGCGGCGGTGAGCATCCCGCTGCGAACTGCCCCAGGCCTCTGCAGGAGCCCGCTACGTGCGCCAACTGCGGAGGAGAGCACCCGGCCAACAATACCCACTGCCCCGTCTTCCAACGCGAACAGCGTAACAGGAAGGCGGGAACGGTCGCCGTCACCGGGGAGTCGCGCCAAAGGCCGACACCGGTGAACCCACAGCCCACCGGGGAGAATGCGCAAGGGGCGTCGCTTATGGCGGCAGCGAACCCCGCACCTCCCCGAGCATCCACCTCTTCCAAGAGAAGGCGTAAGAAGAGGAGCGGCAAGAGGAGGACCGCAAACCCCGCTGCAGACACCCAGGCTGACAGCGTCGCGGAGAGACCGTCCGCCGGTCAGCCCGCCACCAACCCAGCTACTACCGAAGCCATCGTCCCCCGAAAAAGGGAGACAGAAGAGGACCAAGCCGACCGCCTGCGCAAGCACCTACGGACCAGCAAACGCCCAAAGGGCAGAAGAGGATAGCAGCACAAAAGCTGTTATCCTTTTCACACTGGAGCTGCTCCAAGACTTGTTGGCCGCCATGAGCCAGGAGCAGAGCAGAGACGCCGTCGCTCGCATTGCCACCAAGGGCGTAGCTGCCCTGATGGCCTGGGGGGCGTAGGCGCCCTGCTCCGCCAACACTTTGACATTCCTGTTGCTGCGGCCACCCCGCGGCTCGCGAGCACCTGTGCCTACTTGGCCTAAGTAGGCGCACCGTGTGTGGGCGCCGGTGACCGCCGCAACAAATAACGAACAGCGCACTCCGCAGACCGCATAGCGGTGCGGACTGCCCCACATACCCCGGACGAGACACCAGAGGGTTGCAAGTAAGTCGCCGCCTCCGTCGCTGGTCGCTCGGAGCTGGGCCTCCCCAGGTACCGCCTGGGGTCTCACCTGGCTCGGGCTTGACCGCCGAGGCGGCGTGAAGACCGAAGCAACCCCCGCCTTACCTGAACACGACACCACACTGCCAAAGCACCCCCACGACCTACTCCTATTTAGGAGCAGCGGAAGACACCGCTGGCAGGGGGCCACAGCCCCGATCCAGCCACCACGCGTCCCCTACGGGACGGTGTGAAGACTCGAGAGAGCACTCGCTGCGGATTCGCTCGGACGTCGACGAAGCAACACCTCTCCGCAGCTCCCGAAGACTCACGAAGCCTGACGAAGTTGCCCGAAGCTGTTGCTGCCTGCACGGAACCGTTTTTCTTTGCTCCCGGCCTTGGCCGAGTGTTCGCAGGAGACGTCCGCCCACCGATGCAGTGGCAAACAAAGCACAACAGTGCTGATATAATTGTGGGTCGACCACAGCCCAGTTTGGTTTTCAGCGGTGAATCTGTTGTGTTTGTTTGCAACCCCGTGTGACCCCTGCGCCGCCCGGCTCCGGCCGAGCGACAACCACCAACCTCCTAGGGCAGGCCGCGCGCTTTTCTGGCGCCAGCTATGCCCAGGAGACGCGCCAATAACCCCAAGGAGGGTGTCGCGGGCTCCTCTCGCGCTCCGCAGGCTCGAGCTGCACCTGCGCTCGCCAGCGTTGAGCATGAGGGTGAGCACCGCGCACCCATGCCCCAACCGGAAGCGCTCGCGCGTCGCCCCCGACAAAGGGCCACTGCGCAACCGCGTGCCGCGAGTCGCGCTACTAGGTCGCCGGAACAGCGAGGACTCGACGCCGCGCACCCCAGCCTACCCCCGCGGAGCCTCCCCGCGTCACCAACTGTACTCGAACACCTTGCTCCCGATGAAGGCCGAAACGAAACGCGAGATTCAGGAGTGGCTAGCCCGCCAACGACTGCCAGCACCGACGCCTCCGCTGCCCGCTTCCGCGCAGGAAATGGACACGGACGCCCCACCGCCACCTACCCCCACTCGTCGTCAGCACAGCCCCGAAGAGGAGCAGTGCGACGAAAGAAAGCGCCCCTGCCTCACCACCCGCGAGAGGTCCCCGCTGTACTTACAGCGCGACCCGCGGGTGGTAAGAAGGCAGCAACAGGAAGCAGGGCGACAGGTCGACACCTACGCGCAGGCCGCGAGGTCCCCTCCGCCCGCCGCTGCTCCCACCGTAGACACCGAAATGACCGCTGCCACCACAACCCAGGCGCCTAAGCGTCGCTATCCCGCCGCTAGTTGTAGAATACCTACCCAATTGGACCACTCATATGCGAGAGCTGAAGCGTATCCTAGGCAGGGCCGCAAACGCCCGCCCCTTCGGCAAGGGGATACGCTTCTCGCCCAAAGACGACCAGGAGTACCGGCTCGTCCAGCGCTACCTCACGGCGCTGGAGAAGAACGAGGGTATCTCCTGGTTCTCCTACTCCCTCCCGGAGGAGCGCAGCTTGAAGGTGGCCATCCGTGGCCTGCCGAGCAACGCGACGCCGGAAGAGGTGGAGCAGGAGCTCCGAGACCTGGGCTTCGACCCCGAGTATGTGCGTAACATACGGGGTCGCGGCGACCGTCCCGGGTGCATTCTCCTCGCCATCCTAAAGAGGACACCAAACCTGACACCGGGGATATACGACATC